TATCAAGAAGACCCCAAGTTAGATTTAATCAAATAGAATGGAAATCTATTTTTTTATGCAACTCACTGACTAGTCCAAAGAGAGAGTGTGTATGTTTGTATTCCATAAAGGTTACTCTTCCCTAGGCAAGCTACCCTTGTTTACATGATCAAGGTTGATCTCTAATATCTGGTTTCCAGTTTACAAGGTCAGGCAATATCTTGTTAAGAATGTAAAGTGTAAGTTGCACATCTCCCTTTTATTCCTATTTCATTGGCGTGAAAGCACACTCCAATGGGGCCACACATAACTGAAAGGGAAGCTGGGAAACATGATTCTAGCTTGGCAAAAAAAGGGTAGAAGAGTCCAAGAGCCATAATCAGATTGCTACAATCTCTAAAAATAAATGCAGTGATACTTATTCTTATATCTGCTTGTCAGATTTTTAATCAACATCCAGGGAAAAAAAGGCACAACCCTTTCCAGTAGATGAAAATGCCAGAGAAGTACCCAAGCCTGGGTCTTTATTCTGTATGAGAAGAAAGGAGTTATTCTACCTCTGGAGTACACTAATTTAGCAATTTGAGCAAAATTAGGGTAGCAAAGAGCAAGCTTGCATCAGTGGTTCTCCCCTGGCATGCTTCGCTTTTTCCTCGGCTGCTGTTGGAAGAAAATGAAGCACATCTAAGATGTAGGGAGGTGGAGAGCAGCCACTAGGTACAAACACAGTGGTTCCTGCAGAAAGTGACAGCTAACAGTAGGGCTGGGGACAGATTGCACCAAGGAGAAGGGCACAGTAGCCTGGGATAATTTAATGCAGAGGAAATATCCCTGAGCACACTTGAATCTTCTCCGAGGGCATCACTGCATTGCTGCCAAGCCCAGAAACTGATGTTCATCAGGGTGAAATGTGTGCAAGTCTCCCCAGCAGATGAGGAAAGAATCCAGTGTTAGTGATCCCCCTTCTGTCTCTCTTCACTCTTCTTACCCTATCCCCCTATACAAAAGACAAATCCTGCAATAATGTTTATCCCAACTAAATGATATTTGAATGGATATTAAGAAAGTATCTTTAGTTAGAAAAGAAATCTCAAAGGTGAAAGCTGTAATCAAATGCAACAATCACAAGGAATTAATAAGCAAGGAAGAGTAAATGGCCTAATATTCATGGAATGAAGTGTTTGGTATCGTCTATAAAGGTATATTTAATAGACAAAATTAAAATGTGCCAATTTTTTATTGCAAACTTTATTCACCCAGACAGCTTCATTGCCCATCAGAATAAAACAAATCAGGTACTTCATAATTTAAACCTCATGAATTTGATATTTAACAAAAGTTTCTCATTCTTTTTCATACCTTATTATGCTTTATTAGTGAAAACATATTTGCTAACAACGAGAATTTGTTAATGGATATGTTTTAAATTATTATTGTCCATTATAGTGTGTGTGTTGTTTTGTCAGTTTTCCAAGCCTGTAAGTTGAATTTAAGAATAAGTATTACAGAGCAAATTATTCAATCAATTAAAAAATGTCATTGGCAGGCCTCCCCAGTGGCTTAGCGGTTGAGCGCTGGCTGCAAAGCTGCCCGCAGTCTCTGCAGCACCAGTTCCATCCCAGGCTGCCAGCGAGGGTCCCACATGGCGCACAGACCTCTCCTGCCGCACACACTGCACCCCTCAGCAGTGTACTTCATCAGTCTGCCTGCTCTGCTCCCTGCTCTGGCTCTGGTGAATTCTCTCATCCTCCCACACTTCTGACTGTACCCAGTGCTTGCATAAATAAATCAATAAATCTTTAAAAAAAAAATGTCATTGACAATCACTATGAGTTTCTATTAAGAAGGAAAATGATAGTACTGATAGTTCTAAAAGGCAATAATCAGAAAGCAATGTATGGGGCCTCCCTGGTGGCGCAGGGGGTTGAGTGCAGTACTGTGAAGCTGTCTGCAGCCTCTGCAGTGCGGGTTTGATCCCCGCCAGCCACAGAGATACCCACATGGCTGGGCAGACCTATCCTGTCTTCCCAGCTGCTCCCCTCAGCAGTATATTTCAGTCAGTCTGCCTGTTCTGTTCCCCACTCTGTCTCTGGTGGATCCTCTCACCCTCCCGCACATCTGGCCTGTACCCCAGTTCTTGTATGCATGAATAAATAGATCTTTAAAAAAAAAGCAATTTATAATTGTGTTAAAAATATTTGTTTCTGTATAAATTTATATCTGAAATTCTTGGTATTCTCAGCATTTCAAGCAAATAATAAGAGAACACTGTGAAGCTCTGACTTGAAAAAGTTATTACAAAGTTCTAGCTTTCCTCTCTTGCCTTTTTTTTTTTTTTTTTTTTTTTTTGTGGGACCCTCGCTGGTGGCCGGAGATCGAACTGGTGCTGCAGAGGCTGCAGGCAGCCTCGCAACCCAGCGTGCAACCGCTGAGTCACCAGGGGAGGCCCTCCTCCTCTTGACTTTTTAAAAGATAATAATTAAGACCATTTGATTCAATTCTAGCCAACAAGATCTTGTATGTATCTGCCATGTATGTGAAACAGAAAACACCTTCAGTCCCAAAGCAGGTAAACTACTATAAAGATACAGTGTTAGAAGTTATCTACAACTGGAGAGTATCCAATACTAGAAAGTTCTTGAACTTCTCTCTACCTCTCTGTGCATGATTGTGTCTATTATTTGTTTCTCTTTATTCTGAAGGACTCTCTCTACTTCTTTAGACTATGGACAGAATTTAACTTTTGTAAAGCTCCGTAGATAGACTAAAATCTCTAAATCTTAATTCCAAATTTCAAGGATAGGGAAATATTTTGGTCCAGTTTAGTTCAAATTTCAACTCCTTATCCTATTAGCTATGGTTGATGTGAAAATATCACAAAAAGAAGTTGATTAAAGGGAAATACCGCTTAAGATGGGGAAATAGTTTCCAGACAGATTACTGAAGTGGTGACTTTGATCAAAAGGGAGCTGAATATCTAAAAATATGAAAACTCTAATAGAGAAAGATGTATGCACTGCCCACAATTGTAAAGTCATGGAACCAACCTAAGTGCCCTTCAATAGACGAAAGGATAAAGAAATTATGGGACATATTCACTGGAATACTCTACAGCTATTACAAGGATGAAATAGTTACTTTTGGGACAAAATGGATGCACTCAAGGCAATTATATTAAGTGAAATAAGTCAGAAAATGAAAGATAGATATTGGATTGCTTCACACATCTGTGGAATACAAAAGCAAAAAAAAAACCAAAAAACAAAAACAGCACAGGCAAAATGCAGAAATTCTTTCACTTGGGCATAGTGAAAGACTGTAATGTTTACCAGAGAGAAGAGAGGACTTGGGAAGGAGGCAGACAGGGTATTATATAGATGGTTTGGTGGAGGGTGAGTGGAACATGGACATATATGGAAAAGCAAAAATGTAACCCAAAATAAAAATTAAAAAGGGGAACTGGATACAATAGAAACATGATGGAACCAGAAAAGACAGGATTCACATTTTGACTCTGACTTCCACTCCTTATATATCCTTAGGTAGTCACAGATTGATCTTTTGTGGTGCTTTAGCTTATTTGTAAAATGTGGATGATTATATTTAGCTTAAAGGCATTTTGGGATAGTTAAAAGTAGTACTCACCAAATACATAATCCGGAGGAATCCACGTTATGACAACTTGGTTCAATAAGCATGTGGTCAGCACACACCTTGGTGAAGCACTAGACTAGAGGTTGGTGATACCGTGAAGATAAAGACGTTGGCTTTTCCTAGAGAAATCTGTCTGTTGGGCAGCATAACATATATTTCAAAAAAACAAACACAGTCCGTTTGTGACTATATTGTTGGAAATGGTTTGGATTCATCTGACAAGGTTTCAGAAAGGGGCACAGGAGCTATCAGTACAAATTTGAAGCAGGTTTTCACAATGCAAAGGAAGCTAGAAAATTCAGTGTGGATTATGCAAATCACATTCTCTGTGTTCAGTGAAAATGAAAATACTGAAAAGAAATATACATTTAATTTCACAGGATAAGTTCAGAAAGTTAATGCCACAAACTCACCTTAGGTAAGTTTCAAAATCATGCTTTACCAGGTTTAACTGGGGGAGAAAAAGAAAGAAATGATGTGAGCATGTGATAATTTTAAGGTTGCTGCTTCCACATGCTAGCTCGTCAAAGCCTGCCAGGGCGATTTACCATCTCAGGACAATTTGTTCACTTCACTTAGAAATTAGAAGTGTGTTTTGGCCAATAAATCTAAATTTATTTTGTAGTAGTCATTTTTCTTAATTGAAGTGTTTTCCAGATGTTGCCTAAGTCTAGTCGTCTGGGCTGTCTTCCAATAATGAGGAAAGTTTGATTTCATAGGTTGTCACTGTTGATTTTGTCTAACCTTTGGACTAATTGGTCCATCCCAATATATTTGCACCAATATATAAGACTTCCAGGACATTGGAGAAATTCATCTATCCTTTCACCGGTAAGTGTCGACGTCAATTTGCTTCATGGAACTAACTCTTTTCAGTTCAGTAGGGATATACTTTATTAAAGGGGTTTGAGAAAGATTTATAAGGATAGCCAGTGGAAAGGTTTGGAAAGGATCTCATCTGTGCAATACACCTGTTGGAAACTTATAAAATTATATTGAGACTTAAGGGAAAGTCAGGAGAGTAACTTCTGTTACATTTTTTGGAAGTTGGTTATTTTATTTTATCTACAACTTGATTTAAACCTCACACAGTAAGTACATGCTATATCTTGAGTAGAATTTTAAGATCTCTGTTTTCTGTTTGGGGGAATTCTTAAGTATTAAAATGGTCAACTATTTACTATACTATTTACTATAAAGCTGATTGCTTTTTAAAAATCTTGTTTCAAGATAGGATGGTTTTATCATTAAATGACAATTCAAAAGTTACTAAGACACTGTGTGTAAATAAGTTAGGGTGACATTAAGAACAGTTTTTTGATAGTTTAATTTTCTTTTCAGTGAAGACTCGGTACCTGAGTCCAGCCATGGAGTGGAAAATGCTTCCTGTTCATTTACTGCTGCTGCTTTCTGTTTTCTTGATTCAGCAAGTTTCTTCTCAAGGTACCTCAACCATCAGAAATACTTTCATTTAACAACTGGATTTCATCATTCAGTTCTGACTTTTATTAAATCTAAAGAAATAGGTGTCTAAAAATGTCTATTGGTTGGAATTTACAGCAGCACATGAGCTTAAAATTATGTAAAGCAAAATGCAGCCTATTTAAACATATTTTGGAATTCTCACCTCTTTCTCATGTATTAGGAAATCTTTCAAGGAGTTTCAAGTTTTTCTAAGAATAATTTCTGCACTCACTGTTCTTATCATTCTTGCAAAAGTTTTTAAAAACAGACTCCTACCTGATATAACTATGGTGAGAGATATTTAGATTTCAGATTAACTGAAAAGAACAATATTTAAATAGCATATAATTTTTGTCAACGTGTTCATAAGGAAACTTAAACTGGTCTTTGACATCAAATTACGGATATCTTATTTTGTCATCATATAGCTATAGATATCATGTTATAATGAACATTTACAATGTTTCAAATGACATTTATTTAATCTTGAAAGTACTCTCTTTTTCACGAGAATTATTCATTCAGGTATGGACTTAACAGATGTGAAGGCCATTTTATAATATAATCTTAAATTATTCACAGTCCTCCAGAGACAGAACTGGTCCTGAATGAACAGTTCTTTTTACTCCTTTTCAGCGTTAAGGAACATTTAATGGATCAACTCGGTAAACATCTCCACATGTCATCAAAATTGATTTGTGACAATCATACCAAGCTTTGCATTTTTGTTTTCTTTTCTTTGATAAGCAAAATCTGAGAAAAGAAAAATGAGGGTGTATGTTTGTCATGGTGAGATTACATTTGTAGACATTTCCAGTAAAATAGTTAAAATTCTCATAACCTGAGCACAAGCCGTAACTTGCTGCCATAGATACTCAGAATCACTTAGATCAAAAAAGAAAGTTGGAAAAACACATGACAGCAAATATAAATATTTAATTAGGAATGAGATTACTCTGCTCCAGACCCTTCTGCTCTCTCATAATAATATTACAACACTGGGCATGTTGCCCAATCGCCTTTCCTCTGTTATGCAACCGGTTGTTCACTAGAGTAGTTCTACTTTTCTTTGAATAAATGAATTTAAAATATAATGTTAAAAGTAATAGCAATAAAAGTAGGACAGATGTCATGTCTAAATAAACTTTTCCTGTAATGATAATTGACGTCCTACTTCCGAAATCTGTTAACTGTGAAAGAATAGTCCATTGATGTTGTGTTGTCTGCTTTCCTTGCCTCCTCAACCTCTTCCCATTTTCTTTTTCTTTATATATAATATATGTATTTATATACATACACTATATATGCATTTTTGTATGTATTGTGCAAATATGTATGCATACGGTCTGAAATTTGTCCTAATATTTGCTGTTTTATTTGCCTATTAAGACTTTAACTTTCCTGGACTCATCATTTTGAGATTTTCCTTCAGTGTCTTTCAACGTCCCTCTGTGGACCTATGATATTACATCTGCCAATTTCTATTCCAGAGATGGATTCACATGCTACATTGCTTTGGTTCTCTCTCAGGGAGGTTTTCAATTTATTTTTTTAATTATATGTGAGGATAATTATCCCCTTGTTCTTGTTTTTGTTTGTTTTACCCAGAATAACTCCACCCATGGTCCTTATATATGTGCCCAGATGCTATTTCAAATTATCCATTCTGTGCTCATGGTAGCAGAAATGACAAACATCTGTCTTCCCTAGTATTTAAAAAACCCATATGCTCATCAATAGAAGGAGGAGGAAGCCTAGAAAAGTGAGTGCTGGCACCACTAGCTTGCTTTAAACTCATTCTCAAGAAGAGAGGCAATTAGATTGGGTGGGAGAACTGAGCTTTAGTATCAGCTAAATCAGTTCCAGTTCTAGTTGGGCTGTTTACTTAAGATCACCATATAGTTTATTACCCAAATCAGGACATCTGAGGGAAAGAGGTCAATACAAATAATTGACAGGTAATCATTGACCTATAATACATACATATTTCAACTAACACTTAAATGGGTGCCCTTGAGCAAGAAGTTAAAATTTCTGTTTCATTTTCCTTATCTCTAAAGAAGGGTGATGAATCCTCTCCTGAAACATGTTCACAGCTTTCGGGGTGACATGCAAGTCAGTGTCTAGCACAAGGATGCTCAAAGAGTGGCCACTGGCTATCGTTCTGGTGGTGGAAGCTGCCACCCGTGCCCCCAAAAGGGGTGCAAAGTCACTACTCTGCTTGATTTACAAAAGTGTATTTATATTCTCAGTTTAAAGGAATGAAGAGGCAAGATCAAGGCCACATAGATCAGGCAGAGCTACCCCATTGCTAACTATCCCCTCCAAAGGATACAACCCTTCCTCCCAGGTGGCTTTGCCCTCATTCAGTCTCTTTCTTTCTTTAAAAGTCTGGCCATGTTTACATTAGTATTGTGTAATTTTTAGATTTATCAAGCTGTGCAGGGAGATGTGGGGAAGGGTATTCTAGAGATGCCATCTGCAACTGTGATTATAACTGTCAACACTACATGGAGTGCTGTCCCGACTTCAAGAAAGTCTGCACTATGGGTAAGTCCTGGGAGCCTTCTCCTCTGGCACCAGCGCGACCTGTGAGCACCTCCCTGCAGCCCCTTGCAATGCCGCCTTCACACTGTTGCACTTCTTTTTTCTTAAATGCCTCTCCCCTCACTTGCATAAATGTCGCGTTGTGCTGTACCTGAGAATGGTGTCGAAGCTTGTGACTGTGGGGGCGGGAGGGGGCTGGAGAAGTCATTTGGACTAACCATCACTTGGACAAGTGCCCAGTAAAATGTCTTGTTTGAAACAGAGAAAAACTGTGACTCTGGAGGCATTAAGCAAATGAAGTAAAGAGTGTTTATTTACTAACAATCAGCTGTGACTCTGGAGGCATTAAGCAAATGAAGTAAAGAGTGTTTATTTACTAACAATCAGAGGTGAATTGCTTCAGGGTGGGGACTTTCAATGGTGTCATCCTAAGAATCCAGATATAACATAATCTTGTCTACTACTTGGGCTTTGGGTATTCACATATTTCTAAATTACCTGGGGAAAGTCACTTGTTTATTTTATTGGGGTAACATCGCTTTACAATGTCTGCGATTCAGAGCTATGGGACCACACCATGCCCACCACCCAGGCACCCACAGTCTGCCATAATTTCTTGAGTCCCCTCACACCCTGCTCTCCACTCTCTCCTTGCCCTTCTGGTAGCAAAAAGGCACTTTAAAAATCAGTGTTTAATGGTGAGTTTCAATTAAATCCCCAAGGGTGGTAAGTTGAAATTATGAGTGGTCTTTCACTTGAACATATTTTGAACCATTTTACTGTTAACACAAGTAATTCATATTCAGTTTATTAAAAGTATAATTAAAATTGTTTTAAATTTGCTTTAGAATTTGCATAGGAAGCTCATGAATAGATTGTTGCATAATCTACCTGTTGTATATGGTAATTATTTCAAGAAAGTCTCCATGAGCTACTATGACCTTAACCAAGGTTTTTTGTTTTTGTTTTTTTTTTTTTTGTTTTGAGTCAGCACACAAACAATGCCAGGAGATCAGGCTGAAATCTTTGAATGCTAAACTTTGCCCAGTTTGTCATAATAAAGTCTGCATTATAGATAATTTTTTAGTAACCCACTAATATAAATATATTTGGGATATATCATTGCAGGGTCCAAATATTCAATTAACAAAAATCTATTACAAAGTGGTAGGATGAGAGGAGAGTATGAAGGTGTTTCTTTTGAAGGGTAATTCACAATTTAGTCATTCCCCAATTTTCCATTGTCCATACTTACAAATGCCTCAGGCCCCATGGGGGCATCTCCTGGGGCCTTGAAGGGCAAAAAGAGTTTCCCTCAGTCACCATATTTCTTTCTTGACGTGGGCTGTCTCCATTTGGGAAACCATCCATTTTCCAAATTGCAAATAAAAAAGACATAGCAATGTACTTTTGGAGCTCAGCTAGAAGGTGAGAAATAACTATCACGTGGTTGCCTAACTAATAATTCATAACTTTTTGTTGCTCTGGGTAGAGAGTTCCTGCAAAGGCCGCTGCTTCGAGTCCTTTGTGAGAGGGAGAGAGTGTGACTGTGATGCACAATGTACGAAGTTTGGCAAGTGCTGTCCTGATTATAAGGACTTCTGTGAAGAAGGTAAGTGCCACAGTGCCAGTCAGCGCTTCTTGATACAACCCCACCTGTGCCCACCTCTGCTTCACTGGTAACACCTGACATGTGGTCCTTCTGAGATCTTAATTTTACTAACATGCACTATTTTGTATTGCTTTTGCTTCACCAAGGTAAACCTTTTCTAACAGCACGCCCTGGCTTAGCCAGGCCCTGGGAGCTCGAGAGATGCTTTGAGTAAGGAGGATAAGGGCTAGGTGTGCATGCTTTTTTTCTGCAGGCAGGTGTAGTTCCAGTGCAGGTTAAGTCAACAGTAACCTACTTATTTGAGGACTTCTTGTCTCACTGTGTATATTTAAGGAGAGAATTGACACTTTCACCATCTCTGAACTAGTAAATTCTGGAGTTAGTTATAGGCACTAAATTTATAGGTTGACTGACCAAGAAGTTAACTGTAAATGATAAGTCCCTTCCCATCCCTCCAGTCCCCTCAGTAGTCTCCACCGAGATGCCTGTGTGTTACAGAAGTAGTAGGAAGGGATGTTCCCACTTGAAATAGCCTCTGAGTACAGTTCCTGAGATGTATGTAAGACAAGTCTCCAGGTTTTACGAAACAAAATAATTAACTTTGCTTAATAGACTTAAATAATAGTCCTTCCTCTTCCCAAATGTTCATTCTTAAGTCCTACTTTGTTTAAAAAAAAGAAGAAGAATACTTGTAGAGGTAAAAGTAAAAATAAGCATTTCTTGCATAATCTTATTTTACTTAAATAAGACTGTACTTCCTGCTTCCATCAAACAGTGGAGAAATAGGGTGGAAAACTATTAATCAGCATAGTTGAGGAATATTTCTTAACTGTGCTGTGTTTTCATTGGAAAGCATTCCAAAAATCATGGAGACAACACCCTCGTAATCAAAACCTCAGACTGCAGGAGCAGGACCAGCAGTCCTGCCAGATATTTATCCATCGTTCTGGTCATTGTTTTGGCTGTGAGACAAAAAAAAAAAAAGATTTTATTTTGGGCAGAGAATGGGTGGGGAGAGAAGATGGTGAGAGAGAGATGAAGCACTGAGAGAACATGTCAGTAAAGACAAAGCTTATCCTACCCAGCGATGGGGGTCAGCTCACCTGAGGCTTATGGAGAACATGATGAAAAAAAAAATGATGAAGTTCATGCCCCATTTACAGGATTTATAGCGATAGTCTTGACCCCACCTGAAAATAGGAAACACCCAGACCTGCACTGCTTCAGTTTTTCAAAATAACCACCAAACTGTCTGTGACTCACCACATAGCTGACTGAGCTTTGCCACAGATAGGCATCTCTGTGTCTGAAAATCATAACATTTCAAGAATTGGAGGAATCTCAGCAGTCCAATGCCTTGAACGTGAGAAAGCACTACTGCAATGAAGAGGTGGATTGTGTTGCTTGAGGTCCCTGGTTGATTAATACCTGGTAGGACCATTTCTCAAATTTCAGTACATTTTTTGTTGGGTGGAAGAGGAAGGAGGAGCGGTAGGTGGTCAGTGCACAGTGACCCCAGGACTGTTTGGTGCGAGCAGCAGGCCTTCTACGAGACTCCACCCAGCAAGTCCCAATGGCTCTCTGCCTTCCCACCTTTCAGAAGCCCCTGTCCTTTTTAATTTGTTTTGTAAGCATCAGAACATGGAAAAAGGGCGGCAAGGGTGGTGGGGTTTGACAAAGGATTAAAAAAATGGCTATCAGGTCATTAATTGTTGTTCATTGGAACAGGATGACAAAAGTTGAGGAAAGCAGAATGGGAAGGTATGACATTTCTGTAAGAGAACAGTCATGTAGGATTTTTGCAATTAAGAAAGTGATAAAAGGTAAATTGGCACCATTTGATTTAGGTGAATATGAAAACAGGAAATTATATTTCTCTTAAGAGTTCGTGGATCCTGTCATTCACCTGTAGTGAGTTTTGAAGTACAAGAGATGATGCCAACATAGAGTATATTTAAGGCAGGCAAATCCCTTCAGAAATCATCTAGAATAAACACCTGTTGGCAGCTGAGAAGACAAGGCTCGAGAGGGGTTAGCCCATTGCCCATGGTCTCCACGGTGGAGACTCATGGGCTTGGGAACTGCAACTCAGGCCATCTGACTCTGGCATCTTTGCTCTTTGTCACAACTTACAACACTTTCAAATGCAACTTTGTCACAACTTACAACACTTTCAGATGCACTTTTCTAGAATTGTATCCTCAGAATTCACTGGTTTGGAGTTATCAGTGTTGTGCTGGGTCACGCCTGCACTGCTTTTCACCAGCATCTGCTCTTGGAGCCAGATGTGTCACTGCCTTTCACAGTTAGAGTTGCTGCTGAGTATAAACCAGATGTTAACTGACCTGTCTCGCTTGGCCTCAGTGCATAAACCCACATCACCACCGTCTCCCAAGACTACACCTCCGCCTCCAGAAGCTTCTCAAACCGTCAAAACAACCTCCAAACGTTCTCCCAAATCACCAAACAAGAAGAAGACTAAGAAAGTTGTAGAATCAGAGGAGATAACAGAAGGTAGGAAGATGACAGACGTTAAAAAAAGGAGGTCTGATAAAGCCTCTCACAAAACGGTGTCATCTTATGACTCGTGAAAGGTTCATTACACTTTTTATTTGCTTTAAGTAAAAGTGGCAGCCAAAGTATAAATCCCCAGGTATTTGTCTTCCTTATTTACCAAAGCCAGCATGCGTTTAGGTTAAAATAATCAGAAGCGACAAATCTCAGGGTTTTTTTTAATTCCATTAGTTTGTTTGCGGAAAAAAAATTGGATTTTGCTGAATTATGAGAAATTGTATAGTCCTGTTGCTAGTATCTGTGATAAGCTCAGGTGTCTAGCTTTTAAGTGAAAATTGAAACGACAGCCGATCGAATTGCTGATAAAATCAGAGCAGAACACAGTTGTAGATCAGTAAATAGCATTTCTTGTTGTGTTTCGACGGGCGGTTCGTTTTTGCTTTAAATCACAGTTGGTGTGATCAAACTTTTTATTTGATTTATAGAACATTCTGTTTCTGAAAATCAAGAATCTTCCTCCTCCTCTTCCTCTTCCTCTTCAACTATTCGGAAAATCAAGTCTTCCAAAAATTCAGCTGCTAATAGAGAATTAAAGAAGAAACTCCAAGGTTTGAGCATTGATAAAGATCAAAGACTGTATCAATGCCGTTAACAATAATATTGAAAGTAATCCTTGTTGCTAGAACAATTTGAGGATTTTTTTCAATATTTGGGAGGGGTATCTAAATTGATACAGAATATTTTTAAAGATACCACTGAAAATCTTTCATAGAAATTAGAGCCAAGTGGCTAAGAATTGACTCCTTAAAGCAAAGGATAAGAAGATGCTATTGCAGCAACTGCTGAGCCAGAGGATGGCACCAGGAATGCTTACTTTGGTTTCTATTTCCATTCCTATGTGCTATCATTTTTCTTTCTTCTTCTCCCTCCCTTTTCATTGTGTTTGTTTTCTTGTTTTTGTTTCGCAGATTTCCTTTATTTTATTTAGCAAACATTTAAGTGTTTTGTCATGTTAATCCATTAAATTTCCATGTGCCTCTCTGAGAAAGGCAATGTTATTATTTACATTTTACAAATCCTTTCACTTTCCTGACAAATTATATGTCACAGTGGGCTAAGTTTTCAAGATAGAGACTGTACCACAAAGCAGTCTAGTTCCTGCCAAAAAGAGAAACTTTTTTTGGTGTTTTTAAGTATTTTATTACTATAGTACCATACTTAAAACTTCTATGATAAAGATTTTATCATGGAAAATCTCAATCATAAAGCAAAGAGAATAGTATAATAAATATATAAATCCACTATCAGCTTTAATAATTGTCATTTCATGGCCAATTTTGTTTTATTCAGCCTACTTCCCCTCCCCATGTATTATTATTTCAGTTTATATCTCACTGGACTCTTAAAAAAAAAGTCACAACTATTAACATACCAAGAAATTAACTCTTTGGTTTTCATTTTATTATTTCCTGAAATGCTAAAGTGTTTTCTCGCTGTCCAGGAAATATTGACTTTTGGATACTAGAGTTTCCATGAACTCTATATCCTGGGTGGTTGTGATTTCCCTTGAAGCTTTATCTCTAGATGAATGACCAGATACTTAATCTGGGAGTCATCTACAGAGTCTTGCACACAATAGAGCTTCAATCAAGAGAATGAAGTGTCTCAGTGATGTGACCCTTCAGGTCTATAGTTCCCCTATGGGAACTAGCTAAAGGCACCTTATTGGTCCTTTTGCTGCCATGGCATCCTAATATCCTCTGGGCTTGAGAATTTAGGTGGGCAAAAGAAAGAAAGCTAACAGCCATGCGTGTGGAAACCGGGTTCAACCGAGATCATCGGGGTAACTGAAGCAGATTCCTTGGATATAGCTGCAGAGAGAATTGGTACAGTGAATTTGCAAGATGTTGGAACTGAGTTTCCAGGAGGAAGGAAGGGGCACCGAGCAATAGGGAATAAGAAAATTGGAGAAAATGTGGGGCCAAGAGCATTAATAACGGTGTCATTGAACATAAAGATGATTTCAAAGTTGTTGCTTCCATGTATTAATTGTCTCCAGTGCTGTTAAGCCCTTATCCATTCCCTAAAATAGCCCAATAAGATAAGTTGAACCATTTCACAATTTAATTAATAGATAGTTGGAGGTTAGCAATTTGCCTAGAGACACAAAACTCATCAAAGATGATGACGGGATCTTTATATCACTATCAACAGAAAAAAAAAAAAACCTTCAAACATAAAACATGTACATATTTTTCTCTCTAGCAAAAGATAAGAAAAAAGCACCTCAAAAAAAGCCTACCCCAAAACCACCAGCTGCAGATGAACCTGGAAGTGGGCTAGACACCCCGAAGCCTGACATTCCCACTACTCAAAGCAGTAAGGTTACCACAGCTCCCAAGACTACAACGGTAAAACCAACAGATCCTAAACCTACTGTCCCACCTAACTCTGCTACGGCCAGTAAGGAGACAACAGTCGAAACTAAAGAGACTTCAACAATAAGTAAACAGACTTCAACAAGCGCAAAAGAGAAGAAGACTACTTCAACTAAAGAGATAAGAAGTGCAGAGAAGTCTACACCCACAGCTGAAGTTCCCACTGAATCTACACCTAAGGCTGAAACTACAACGGAATCCCCTGCTCCCACCACCACCAAGGAGCCTGCAACCACCCCCAAAGAGCCCGAACCCACCACCACCAAGAAACCCAATCCCACCACCCCCAAAGAGCCCGAGCCCACCACCCCCAAGGAGGCCGAGCCCACCACCCCAAGGAGCCCGAGCCCACCACCCCCAAGGAGGCCGAGCCCACCACCCCCAAGGAGCCGGAGCCCACCACCCCAAGGAGCCCGAGCCCACCACCCCCAAGGAGCCGGAGCCCACCACCCCCAAGGAGCCCGAGCCCACCACCCCCAAGGAGCCGGAGCCCACCACCACCAAGGAGCCCGAGCCCACCACCCCCAAGGAGCCAGAGCCCACCACCCCCAAGGAACCTGAACCCACCACCCCCAAGGAGGCCGAACCTATCACCCCCAAGGAGCCGGAGCCCACCACCCCCAAGGAGCCCGAGCCCACCACCCCCAAGGAGGCCGAGCCCACCACCCCCAAGGAGGCTGAACCCACCACCCCCAAGGAGGCCGAGCCCACCACCCCCAAGGAACCCGAGCCCACCACCCCCAAGGAGCCCGAACCCACTACCCCCAAGGAGCCAGAGCCTACCACCCCCAAGGAGCCCGAGCCCACCACCCCAAGAAGCCCGAGCCCACCACCCCCAAGGAGCCGGAGCCCACCACCCCCAAGGAGGCCGAGCCCACCACCCCCAAGGAGCCTGAACCCACCACCCCCAAGGAGCCGGAGCCCACCACCCCCAAGGAACCTGAACCCACCACCCCCAAGGAGGCCAAACCTACCACCCCCAAGGAGCCGGAGCCCACCACCCCCAAGGAGCCAGAACCCACCACACCCAAGGAGGCCAAACCCACCACCCCCAAGGAACCGGAGCCCACCACCCCCAAGGAGCCGGAGCCCACCACCCCCAAGGAGGCCAAGCCCACCACCCCCAAGGAGGCCGAGCCCACCACCCCCAAGGAGGCCAAGCCCACCACCCCCAAGGAGCCGGAGCCCACCACCCCCAAGAAACCTGAACCCACGACCACCAAGGAGCCTGCTCCAATCACCTCAGAGGCCTCTACCCCAACCACCCCTGTGGAGCCTCCCACTGCTGCCAAGAATCCTGCTGAACCAACTCCTGAGCTTCCTGCAGAGCCCACACCAAAACCTACTGAAAAAAGTTCCAAGGAACCTGCTGCACCTACACCCAAGGCTCCCAAAGCCACCAAACCCCAAATGACTACAACAGCCAAAGACAAGACAACAGAGAAGGAGAAACCTACTCCGCCTGGAATGACAACAGCCGCACCTAAGAGTACAACAAAGGAGACAACAACTGCAGCTGAAGAGGCTACGGAAAAACCTGAGGAAACAACAGTTATTCCAAAAACTACAGTCACTGATCCTAAAGTGAAAACTCCTAAACCCCGAAGACCAACCAAAGCCCCCAGAAAGCCCGGTTCTACCAGAAAGCCGAGAGTGAGAAAACCAAAGACGACACCAACTCCTGCAAAGACCACAACAGCAGTGCCTGAAACAACCCTGACCACCACAACGGAAGCCACACTCCCGACTACCACTGGTCCCAGCACAACTCCCATCTCAGAAATAGTCGAAATAAATCCAAAGGACGAAGCTACAGATGCTGCTGAAGGAGACAAACCCGACATGATTCCCGGCGCCCCAGTGTTAACTCCTATGGGCCGTCCAGGTAGTAATTTCTTAGTGGGAGGACACAAGCAAGACATCGAAGTCAAACCCATGCTTTCAGGTAACAGATGTTTAATTTTTTACCTGGTAATGTTAACTTACATCTGAACGAGAATGCCCTGATTTAGTATCAGTCTGTAGATATACATTATCTAGACCCAAACTTGTTCATTTGTAGTTTTACAGCTTCTCTGCAGGTAAGCAGGGGAGAAGCCATGGGAAACTTATCGGGTCTTTAGAAAGTCAAGTAATAACCTAATGTTAGAATTTAGTGCATCTGCACGAAGCAGAGCTGGTGTATAGAATGCCAAAAATATTTAGTTGCCAAAAATATTAGTTCTTTTATTTTTAAAAGAAAGTATGATGCAAAACAAAAATCTGCATTACCTTCTTTTCAAAACTAATTCTGAAGAGCAATCAGAACTAAAAAAATGGAATTTCATCTTGAGATGAAACATCCAATAATTATCTAATTTACAAGAAAAGCAGGTAACTCGATCCATTATAAATCACAATTTATTTTTGCACATTTTTTTTGCTTATCACCTTTAAGATAATTATGAATTATATCACTTTGATCACTTGCATCTCTGAGATATATACACTTCAAACTCAACCTTTGGAGAGTTTAGGAAAGGGTCAACAGAGGAAACGAAATTCCATGTAAAGTTTTGACAAGAACATGAACATTTTCTCCATTTCATTTGATGTTGGCTTAATTTGTTTTTCTGTTATTTGCTTCAGATGAGACTGATCTGTGCAATGGCAAGCCAGTGGATGCAGTGACCACATTGCGCAACGGGACACTGGTTGCATTTCGAGGTGAGCTATGCACATAATTCTTTTTCTCTGCATCACTTTGTTCTCGGCATTTGTGTGAACCAGAGCCTTGGGCGAGTACTACTTTGAGTTGAGTTTTCTGGAGGGAAAGCTCATAGGTCAACTGAGGCTTCTACAATTTTATGGAAACCTGAATCAATTATCGAAATACTGAAAATAACAAACAGGTACATTAAGGTAACAAATGAAATGAGCTTAAACTGTTCCTACTTAGATTTTTCCTACTGTTAGGATGAATAGTTCAAATTTTAATTTCACAGCAAATCAGGTTTTGCAGTCCCTGCCCTGCTTTATTTGAAAATCTTGATGGCGGTCTGTTCAGCAGTTATTCTGTCAGACAACAGCACATCAGCAGTTATTTCATGTTCTCAGTTTTACTGTCTGCTACTTTTGTCTTCTTATAATACAGATTTAATCTGAAAGAAAACAAAACACTATAGCCTCTCACAGTGGCATTGAGATTCTAGTAGTCATCTAATTATAATTCCTTATTCTAAAAGATGGATTGAGAGATAAGTTGCTTTCTCTAAGTCACAAAGCTAAAAAGATTTTTCCATACTCGAAAACTTACATATTTCAAAGGTAATGCTAAATTTCAGTCTTGACAAATAGCCACTCTCAGAAAAGTTCAAATACTAACTTCTGCACTTGTACTCACAGTTCTGACTTGTCAACCTGCTCTTCTTTAAAATGATTTAGAACATTTTCATTTTAGTTTCTTCCAGAATGGGTTTTAGCATTCATTATTTGCAAGCTGACCTACCACTTTGAATTTTAGGTCATTACTTCTGGATGCTAAGACCATTTACTCGACCTCCACCACCTAGAAGAATTACTGAAGTTTGGGGTATTCCCTCCCCAATTGATACAGTTTTTACTAGATGCAACTGTGAAGGAAAAACTTACTTCTTTAAGGTAAGAAACGTATCTTTGAGAGCAATCTGCAAATAGCTACCCTATGACAATGTAAATTGGCTGGACCTCTGCTTCAGAAGAGTCCCTATATTTTCATAGTTTTTCAAAATTTAATAGAAAATCTAACTTAACTTAGCAATTAATGATAAGCTTTTTCTAACACTTGCTAAAAACTTCTTCCCTTTTATCTGAGTTCCTATTCCTAGCCTTTTTCCCCCTAAAGCTATTACCACCATTTTCTTTTTAATGATCAGGATTCTCAGTACTGGCGTTTCACCAATGATGTAAAAGATCCAGGGTATCCCAAACAAATTGTAAAAGGATTTGGAGGACTAAATGGAAAAATAGTGGGAGCTCTCTCTGTAGCTAGATACAACAACAGACCCGAATCCGTGTACTTTTTCAAGAGAGGTATGTGTTACGTAATTGACAAAATTATAAAACTTAAGAATTGACATGCCAGGAAAATGTTATTCAATTGTTTCATTTATTACTGGGTTTACTGTCAAAGAGATCCTTAGTAACTAGAATTAAATATTTTCAATAAGAAATAAAAATTGAGGGCAGTAAGACATATTCAGCTCTCTTGGCATGCAAATCACAATTTCATCTGAGTTTTCAGGTCATCGATTGATACTTTCAGACAAGATTAAATATCTATGTAATTTGTTGGCTTCATTCAGCAAATATTTCAGGACTTTTTTTATAATACTCTTGACTAGTAGCCATTATTAATGTCTGGACATGCTTTATGAAAAACAATGATCATGTCCCCCACCTGTAAAAATCTTTTCTTGGGAATTAAAAATAATTTTCTATTACATGCAATTTTTAATACATAATAGGTGGTGGTGTTCAGCAGTATACATATAAACAGGAACCTGCCAGAAAGTGCCCTGGAAGAAGGCCTGCTATAAATTATTCAGTATATGGACCAACAACACAGGTTAGGAGACGTCGCTTCGAACGGGCTATCGGACCTTCTCAAACACACACCATCAGAATTCACTATTCACCCATGAGAGTCTCTTATCAAGACAAAGGTAATGTTTTGTGCCGGATTACAAATTCTTATACATGAAGTATATGCACTATAGTTTCTTATAAAGCTTTAATAAATATAAAAACTGCGTAAAAAGCCCTACTACTTTAAGCTTATTCATGCAAAACACTATGCCTCAGTGAATAGTCAAAATCAGTACTTTTTTCTTTGTGGGTAAGGAATGAAGTTTATTCAGGTTTGTTAATTATAATACATACTATTTATCCAGTACCTCTTTCCAAGGACATTATTTACAAACCCGTAATGTAACCCTTCACAACAGTCTAACAAGCAGGCATGTGAGCCAGATCAGAAGGGCCAAAAACTGAGGTACTACAGTTAAGTAACTTACCCATAAGTTAACAGAGATACTAAGCGACCAAATTAGATTAAAACCCAGGTGTGTCTGACGTTAATAGTTGCTCTTTTCAATATAGCACATTGCCTTTCAATGTGAAACTTTTAAATATGGCATCCACAGGTCTCCTGCATAACGAAGTTAGAGTGAGCACAATGTGGAGAGGACTTCCAAATATGGTTACTTCGGCTATAGCACTGCCCAACCTCAGAAAACCTGATGGCTACGACTACTATGCCTTTTCCAAGGGTAAGTCAATAAGTAAACATTTTAGTAGGCAAATCTTAATAGCATCACAAATATGCAATTTTATTTTGTAAATATGAATATTACCAAAGCAAAACCACAAAGGATTTAATGGTGTCTACAGGGGAGAAGCTAAACTACAATACCAACTGCTCAGAGGAAGAGATTTTTCACTTTACTTGCAATTAAACTGAACTGCAGTTTAATTCTGCCCTTTCCTTCATGAGATTAAAGCCCATTGTGACAAAACATCTGGTCACTTGAGTAAAACTGCTATTGAAAACAGTATTCTACTTCTATTAATATTACCTGGGGCCTTTAATAGAGGTGTTGTTTGCCATAAAGTTGTACTGATTTGTATCATTCATAGTCTCCCAGATCAGAGAAAAGTTTCTCAGAAACTATTTTTATTAAACAAGCATTTCCTGGGACACTCTTCTTTGAAAAATTCAGAAGTGTAAGGCATTCTACCTATAGGAATCATGCCAGAATGCATTTTTTTAAAAGAGTAAAACCCAGTGAATTACTGTTTTTTAAACTAATTCATTTATTCTCAAATTCCACTTTGAAAAAGGAAGGTCGAATCTAATTTTACTGAAATAACATGAAAGGTCAATCGATGAAGGCAACTGACTTTCTTTTTTTGTCAATAAGTTCAAATTAATTAATACAAGTATTTCTGATATTAAACAAGTGTCTTTGAGCATAATAATCAACACAAACTATTTTTAAGTTTGAGTGCTTGGCTTTCTTTTAACTAAAAAAAATTATTTCTCTTTGATTTAGATCAATACTATAACATTGACGTGCCTAGCAGAACAGCAAGAGCGATCACTACTCGTTCTGGGCAGACCTTATCCAAGGCCTGGTACAACTGTCCTTAGACAAGAAACAAAGGAAGAACTACTAATTAAAATGAAGAAAAGTATAATAAATTTTGACACTGAAATACATTTTATTAATAAAGTGTTAAGATGAGCATACCAATTTAAATACAAAAATGTTTCTTAAACTCGACAGTCATCATACAAACAGATTTGACAATCTTATTCACAGTTATTACAGTTTATAGAACATTTAATTAATATTTCCTCTGTTTATTCCTCCTCTCCCTCCCATTGCATGGCTCACACCTGTAAGAGATAAAAAGGAAGTAAACGGAATACATCTTTTTAGGGATTGGCTTAAAACTAGAGTATTCAGTTGCCGTAGTTCATTATAAAAATGTTTTTCAGTCTCAAGTATCTAGGCACTGCTGATACAGTACTTAGATATGTCACCTTCAGTGGAAATCATTATAGCAATTAGATTTTTTGTGGCATGAATAAAACAATTTTTTTTAGTAACTAAGCAGTCACAAGGCTTTATTCTGTTGTATAAAAAAGTATGTAACATTAACAGAGATGTAACAAATGACTTATATACAGAACCATAACACTCGAGTTTTTTCCAAATCTTAGTTTGAATTAAAGGAAGAAATGAATAAATGTAAACTATAACACATATCCATTATGTACCTATAGTTTACAAATCCGTCTGCAAGAAGTTTACGGATTAGTTAAACATCACATGCTCTATGCAAAATGATTTAATCAATCTTCGGAATATTTTTAAAAAATGAGATACAGGCCAGAACTTAAAAATTAGAAAACTTGTTTCATTCATTGCTATCCCACATCCTATCACATAATGTTAGAAATTTACCTCTCTGTCTGTTAAACTGACGACCACGGACACCTTGTCTCAATGTTGTCTGAAGTCTCACTCGTCTGAAAGGTTTTGGTTGATTGCTGCTAGTATCTAAGAAGAAAAACATAGGATATTAGAAAGCAAGTTAAAAGACAAGAAAACAGTTAAAATGGCAAAACAAATTATGAATGCTTGTATAAAAATACAATATTAAAGTGCTTGTTTTTTTAAGAAGGAACACTTAAAAAGGGAAAAAGTAAAACAAATATCAAATATCTTTATTTGGAAAAGTAAGTAAAAGTGTTTTGACTTTTTCTTCACTCACTCAACTAATTTAATATTTACTCTGGGCCTACCCAAGTATCAGCCACTGTGCTAGAATTTGGGGAATACAATGAAAAACAAAACAATCATGTCTCTTAGAAAACAATCCATTACTATATAATGTGAGTCATACCTGACTCCTCTTCAATGGACAACCCAAACTCAATCATTAGCAAATCTCACCAGTTTTAGTTTAAATATATACCCCAAATCTGATTTCTTCTTACAACCATAACTATCCTATCTAAAAACAGGAATAATTACCTTCTATTATTACGCAACAGTTTCCAAAGCATGCCCTTGTTTCTGTACATTACTCATCTTCAATCTCTTCTGTACATAGCAATCAGACTGACAATAATATTATCATTAACCCTTCAAGTCAGGTACATCACTACTTTTGGTTCAAATGCTCCAACAGTCCTACACTCTTGAAAGTCACAGCAGTTGATAATGATCTACTAGCTCCCCAGCACCCCATCCTATCTCTGGCTAGTCTCTCTCTGCCCTGTGCTCCAGTGACACTGGCCTCCTTGCTGCCCTTACTGGACTCTGCAGCTGCTCCCTCTCGCCTCCTGATACACTCTTCACCCAAGTAACCACACAGTTTGGCTCTTTAAATTCACTCTCAGTGACTCTATCTATAAAATTACCTGGTAACTCTAATATCTGTTGACTAAAGGAATAACTGCTCAAATGTGGAGTTTTAGTGTTTTATAGTATCAAATAAAGTTAAAGAACAATCTAATTTCATACCATACTAAAAAAGAAACAAGGATATTTTCTTATGTAAACTCTGATAAGATACATAACTAGTGCAATTCTGCAGAGGAAAGTGTTCTCATGCGACATCAGAATATAAGTGGGGGCACAGAACCTCAGTAATTGTATTATTAATTGTTATAGTTGCAATTTTTTGAAATTTTAACTTTACTGTGTGTTGACCACATTGGATTGATGTGAGAATTTAAATAAGCAAATATATACAAAGGGCTTAGAATACTGCCTGATCTACAGAAGTGCTCAATAAATGCTATTTTTTTTTCTTAAAGTGTAACAGCTTTTACTGCAAGAGAGACATAGAACAAGGTCAGTTTGTTCAATAAATGGTGCTGGGAAAACTGGACCACGACATGCAAAAGAATGAAACTAGACTACTACCTCACACCATGCACAAAAATCAACTCAAAATGGATAAAGGAATTGAACATAAGACCTGAAACCATTAAATATATAGAAGAAAACAGTTGTAAAACACTACATGACATACACATCAGTAACATCTTTAAAGACTCATCCCCCAAAGCAAAGAAAGTGAAAGAAAAGATAAACAGCTGGGATTACAACAAACTAAAAAGTTTCTGTGCCGCTAAACAGATATTATCCAAACAAAGAAACACCCTACTGATTGGGACAATTTTGCACTCCACTCCACAAAAGTAGCCATTAAACTCCACACCACTGATAAGGGACTGATCACAAAGATATACAAAGAACTCAAACTCAAAAACATAGTAAACAATCCAGTCAAAAAAATGGGCAGAAGAACTTAAGAGACACCTCTCCAAAGAGGAAATGCACATGAAAAAAGGTTCAACATCCCTCATAATCAGGGAAATGCAGAACAAAACCACAACGAGATACCAACTGACACTAAAAGAATAGCACATAAAAAACAAATGTTGGCGAGGATGTATGTGGTGAGAAAGGAACTCTTCTACACTGCTGGTGGGAATGCAAACTGGCCCAACCACTATGGAAAGTTGTGTGTAGGTTCCTCAGACTACTAAAAATGAAACTATCATATGACCCTGCAATTCCACTCCTAGAGATCCAACCAAAGGACACAAAAACCTTCATTCAAAAATCCTTTTGAATTAAATCCCCTATGTTTATTGCAGCACTATTTATAATAGGAAAGATCAGAAACAACCCAAATGTCTAAAAATAGATGACTGGATCAAGAAGATGTGGTATATATACACAGTGGAATACTATTTAGCAATCAAAAAGGATAAATTAATGCCACGTAAAGCAACACGGATGGAGTTAGAAGGGATTAAGCTCAGTGAAATAAGTCAGAAGGAAAAAAGAAAAATATTGGATGGTTTCACTTATAAGAGGAATACAGGGGAACCAAATAAAGGATCAGGGAAAAAAATAATAGCAATTAAAACAATACACAACAAAACAAAAATAAACAGCTATAAATCAGAGACATTCTGCAGGGGAGCGGGAGGCAGAAGGATTGAGATGGGGGCAGGAGGAGCACAAGGGACTATGGTGAAGGTGCACAGGTGAAATGGTGGTAGAAACTCTATGGGGACTACACCTGAGAAAAGAAAGCAAGCACTGTTAAAAAAATGATGAAAAATGAACAAAGATGTGACAATATATAGAAACTTAAAAAAAACAGACATATAATATAGATTCTAAAGATAAATATCTAATGGTGTCACTAACGTGGAATACAGAGAAACCAAATTAAGAACCAGAGAAAGACAACCTTAAAAGCTAACCCTTAAAAACTGACCAAAGTACAGAAAAATTCAAAGCAGGGCTGGGGATAGAGGAGGAGGTAGGAACAAGAGAAGGAAGCACAATGGACTATGGGGGTGGACTTTGGGGGATTTAGTAGTGGGTACCCTACCATCAACATCTGAGAGACAGAATCCTAATGTTACCACAATTTGAAAGTAAACTAATAACAAAAGTAGCCATTTAAACTTCAAAAACCTGAAATGTATAACATTGAAGTTGTTTACAGCAGTAAATTTCAAACAATTTTTGAAGCAACAAATCCCCTACCCTTTAGCTCTCCCTAATCAAATCTCATGTAGAATCTCAATACAAAGAACAAATAAAATGGAGTTTCTCCGGTTTAACAAAGGCAGGAGGTCTATAGTACTATTCCTCCCAGCTTCCCTCCCAGTAACCCATTCACCACTGCCTCTGGAACACATCTAAGAGCCATAAGAGTTTTACAGAGCATATACTGACAATCACTTGTGTCTAGATCAAACAGGAGTGACATGGTGTGTAATTGCACAAAACTAGTAGTACAGCCTACTACACATTTAGGTTATACATAGGGACCAGTGTTGTATGTGTGGCTTGTAATTAACTGAAATGTTACTACGTGGCACATGACAGTAGTAAGACTTGAAAGTCAAAATCTCTCCTTATTCATGGACTGCAGAATGGATGTTATATTAGGATGAAAACAACATTCATCTCTTTATACGTTTCTATCAGAACTCCTGAGCGATCAGGTATGTATCAATGAGCAGTAATATTTTAAAAGGAATCTTTTCTAAGTAGTAGTTCTCAGCATTGGGCTTAAAATATTCAGTAAACAGAGGGTCCATTATCCAGGCTTTGTCACTCTATATGGCAGAGGCAGAGTAGATTAGCATAGCTGATAGATGAGCACTGACTTCAACTTAAAGTCACCAACTGTGATAGTTTCTAACAACAGTCAGCCTGTCCTATGACAATTTTAAAACCAGGCATTAACTTCTCTCTTTAGTTATGAATGTCCTAGACGGCATTTTCTTCCAGCATAAGGCTGTTTCTTATATACTGAAAATCTAGTGTAGTCTCTCATTACTTATCTTAGGTAGATCTTCTGGGTATTTTTTTTTTATTGTAAATTTTATTTTTATATTCCCCATACAACTGCGACCCCCTTATTTTAACCCCAATCCCTCCCCTCCCTGCCCCCCACCCCCCATAGAGTGTCTCTGGTTCATAGTTGTTTGTTGATTTTGATTTTTACTTTCTTATAGTTATTCTTTTTCCTGGTCCCTTATTTAAGTTTTCTAGATTCCTGCTATGAGTGAGACCATCCGGTATTTTTCTTTTTCTTTCT